TTATGCAATTCATGCAACGTGACCCCTATAGTTTTGCAGTCCCTATGGCTAAATGTTTGGTTCCATTTTAATTAGCGCCTATTCAGTAGTTTCCATAGGTTCATAATAATTTTTTACCATTTAAAATGTAGTTTTCTTTTGGATGTTACTATGTGATCTCATCCATTTTAGGGAATCAATCAACTATTGAAGATAACAATTCTATAGATGCGAGCTCTTAAAATTTTGCATCTTAACCTCTCAATGCGTTCGAGAGAGTTTTAACCTAATAAGTTTCAGGTTAAATTTTCATAAAACATATTAGATTAGAAATAAGACACTACCTAGATATTTTATCCTTATTTTTGCTAGGACTTTAAGATATGAGTTCAAGTTTTTCAATTAATGCTAGTAATTAGATTGACACCAAGTTTATAGTTGTCGCATCCTGGAATATTCACGGCGGTAGAGAAATATATAGTTTAACGTCTAAGCATTGTATGAAGATCCAGCACACAAGCATATAAGAGAGAGAGAGAGAGAGAGAGAGAGTGTAGCGTTCATAAGAGACACCAGAGTTTTTATGTGGAAACCCCTGAAAAAGGGGAAAAATCACGGGGTTTGGCCGAACTTGAATGAATCCACTAGTATTTGCAGTTGATTACAAATGAGACCCTTCCTTGGGAGTAGGCCTTGGCTTGATGTCACAAATGTACATCATATAGAGCACATTACATGGTGGGAGTTACAATAATTAACATAGATATGTTTGTTTGGTTTGAAGGGCCATAGTCGGCACGATACAGGGGCCCGAAAAATCGTAGTTGGCAGGAGACCGGGGTCAAAAAGACTGTTGTCTGGCGATGTAGGTCAGAAGAACCTTAGTAGGCGACGGAGGTCAGAAGGACCATAGGCGGCAGGAGACAAGAGTCCGAAAGACTGTTGTCTGGCAATGTAGGTCGGAAGAACCGTAGTAGGCGATGGAGGTCGGAAGGACCATAGGCGGCAGGAGACAAGGGTTTGAAAAACCGTTGTACGGCGATGTAGGTCGAAAGGATCGTAGTAGGCGACGAAGGTCGAAAGGACCATAGGCGGCAGGAGACAAGGGTCCGAAAGATCGTAGTTGGCGGGAGACCGGGGTCTGAAAGACCGTAGTCTGGCGATGTAGGTCGGAAGGACCGTAGTAGGCGACGGAGGTCGGAATGACGATAATATGCAGGAGACAAGGGTCGAAAGATCGTAATTGGCAGGAGACTGGGGTCTGAAAGACCGTTGTCTGGCGATGTAGGTCGGAAGGACCGTAGTAGGCGACGGAGGTCGGAAGGATCATAGGCGGCAGGAGACAATGGTCCGAAAGACTGTAATTGTAGGGTGGTACTCCGATAGAACTCTAGGTTGGCCCAACAGAAGTCCGGGCCTCAAGTGGTGGTCCAGCAGAAGTCCGGACCTCAAGTTGTGGTCTGGCAAAAGTTCAGGCCTCAGGTGGTGGTCTAGCAGAACTCTAGGCATCAGGTGGTGGTCTGACAGAACTTTGGGCCTTGGGTGGTGGTCCGAGAGAAGTTCGGGCCTCAAGTGGTGGTTCGGCAGAAGTCCGGGCCTCAGGTGGTGGTCCAACAAAACTCCGAGAGCAACGACGTCAAGCGATGGTCCGGCGGAGGTGAGGACTTCAAGTGGTGGTCTAGTGGAAGTCCGGGCCTCAAGTGGTGGTCCAGCATAAGTCTGGATCCAGGTAGTGGTCAGCTGAAGTCCGGGACTTAGGTGGTGGTCCAGGGAAGCAACGACGTTAGGCGGTGGTCCGACGGAGGTGAGGGCCTTAGGTGGTGGTCCAATGGAGCAACAACGTTAGGCGGTGGTTCGCCGGAGGTGAGGGCCTTAAGTAGTGGTCCGGCGGAGTAACGACGTCAAACGGTGGTCCGATAGAAGTTCGGCGGTGGTTGAAGAGGAGTGAAGAGGCAAGAGTGATCTCTGTTCTCTCTCTTGCTCTCTTGCTTGGAGCCCCATTCTCAATAGAAATGAGGGGTCTATTTATAGATTTATGGAGTGGCATGACCCATAAATATGTGAGAGATCAAGAGTAAATGGGGAGAGGTTAGATGGACGGCCGATGTTCAACCCCTTGATCATGGACCGTTTGATGGACATTTGAATGTCTTAGTAATCTCGGAATTCAGTGATCATGGGCTCGTTGGATTCGTCTTTTTGAGCTGCTCGATTTGACTATAAGCACATTATGTTTGGAACCCGTTTGGTAATCCAAATTGTGGTTTGAACCCTTATACAGTGCTTTGGACCCTTGATTTGTATCCATTTGGACTCGGATTGAGTCGATTTTGGTGTCGTTAGGTTCGTATTTCTGAGATGCTCAGTTTGTCTATAAGTTTGCTAAAACCGGAGTTAGGATGGTCCCAATTTTGATTTCGAAAGTTTCCAATTTGATTTTGCCTTGAGATTCGTGCCCGGCCAAGATAATTTTTTGATGACGTATCAAAACTCCTCCTAGAGATTTGAAAAAAAAAATGAATTATCACTTCACTATTAAATCAAAAGCACATATTATAAATTTCAAATTATCTAAACACAAAGCATGTCAAAATATTTTCATCAAATAAATTTTCAATTTCTTTCAATCTTCAAATAAAAAATTATTATAAAATATTTTCATACATTCTATATCATGCTTCAGACATTATTAATTCAATAACAACAACAATGTTAAGTTTTTATCCCATTATAGGGGTTAACTACATCAATTATTTTTCTTTGTTGTGTATTATTAAAAATTAAATTCTCATTTAAATCTAATAAAAATTTTATTTATAATACTTGCTAAGGCTTCATTGGTACAGCTATCTTACAGCTTTGTTTTTCAAACTGCAACTTTTTTTTTCACTACAAGAAAATCATCAATTGCCGAAGGATTGGATGAAATATTTCGAACAGATTTTTCCGGCGGATTTAATTGGCCACTATTTTTGATAAATTTTTATATTAGGAAATTGTTTTCCGCACCAAATTTAAAAATGTTTTTTTTTTTTTTCACACGCAACAACTTTATAATTACTTTTATAAAAATTTGCAATCATCCCAAAAGGATATCAAGTCTTTCTAGGTCTAACTCTAACCTTCTTAAAATTTATACCTTAGTCGCTTGTCTACTATGATCCTTTCGACCTCCATCGTCAGACTATGATCCTTATGACCTCCATCACCTGCCAACTACAGTCCCTCCGACCACTTTTGCTCGACTACGATCACTCCAAACACCGTCACCTAACAATGGCCCCTTCAACCTCTATTGCTCAACCATAATCTCTCGACCTAAGCCGTCAAACTATGACACCTCTGACCACCATTGCCCAGCTACAATCCATCTGACGGTACCACCGTCGTCTAACTATTATCCTACTGACCAAACGAATAGGTCAACGCTATCTTGAGAACAACTCTCATGTCATTGGATTTTTCCAACTTCAATCATGCAATGTGCTCTATATGATGTATAATTACTACAATTTAATTTTATTTGTTTAATTGTAATTATATTATATAACAATTTAATTATATTTATGTAAAAGTTTAGTTAAATTGTCTTGCAAACATTATAAAACTTTTTTTAAAAAAATTTTACGTAGTAGTTCTGTTAGAGATTTCATATAACGATAATGATTCTCAAACCTTTTTTTTTATCATCATGATTGTATGTATAAATCTCTAATAACTTAGTAATATTATCTAATTATATTGCTATATTTATTTAATAATTTAATTATATTTATCATTTGCCACACAAATCTTAAAATAAAACTCCTAGATACTGAAAAAGCATATATTATAAATTTCAAATTTCAAATCATCTTGATACAAAACATGTCAAAATATTTTCAACAAATAAATTTTCAATTTTTTTTCTATCTTACAAATAAAAAATTATTATAAAATATTCTCATACATTATATATCATGCATCATACATTATTAATTCAATAACAACAACGGAGATTAATTTCATGAATCATTTTTTTCTATTGTGTATTATTAAAAATCAAATTCTCATTTCAATCTAATAAAATATTTATTTATAATACTTTCTAACTAAGGCTTCATTTGCTTTCCATACCACAACATTTTTTACCATTGTTTTTTCACTATTTTTAATAAATTTTTATACTAGAAAACTAATTTCCACAACAATTTAAAAAAAAATTACTTTTTTCACAACAACTTTATAAATATGTGACGCCACCCATAAAACAAATATATTACAATTTATGTACATTAATTAAATAAATTTCTATAAAATATTAAAATATGCGCCTTATTTTCATATAAAAACATTTTTAGTTTTTGTAAGGGATTTAAATATATTTATATATCCAAAATATAAATAGTAATATTTAAAATTTAAATTATTTTAATTAATTTATTTATTTATTATAAGTAAGTTAAATTTAGTAACTTTTTATATAATTAAGAGATTATTATATGATATAAGTAGATATAAAAATGGTAGATATGGTTGATATATTTAAAACTCTATTTGATAATCTTTTAAGGGAAATATTTAATAATAATAGAGATTTATTCAAATGTTAATATATTTATAACTATAATAAATTTTAATTAGGGTAGTTTGGAAGCTTCCACTATTCTATTTTAATTTTCATAAAAAATAAAATATATTTTATAATTTTTAATCTTATTATTCTATTAAAACATATATTATTTTTTAGAAATAATTTAGGTGAAAATATCATAGCAAAAATTTATTTATGATAAATTTTAAATTTTTTAGATTTTGAAAATAAATATAATGTATATATATTTCTATATTAGATTTATATTTAAATAAATTTAGTGATTTAAAATTATGATTAAAATTTAATGGGCATATCTTAACATAATTATTTGAATAAAATAATCCTTTAATAATATTCTAATTTTACGTCATTTTTCTAAGAAGTTCTACAGCGCATTAATCCCTGACCTGGACTTTTGTCCTCTATACAGCCTCCCCGTCTTCATAAAACCCAACCTGCTTTACAAGCTTCATTACCCCTCACCGTCTCCATCCCCTCAATAATCACGATGCTGGCCCAGCCCCACCACCGCCGGCATCAACCCTCCGCCACCGCCCGACACCACTCACCCAACCCCTACTCCCTGGATTACGACCTCTGGGCTGAGATGCTTATGAAATCTAACCGCAACTCCTTCGGCCGACCGGACACCGAGCAGAACTTCGGTCCGTGGACTCGCAGACCTCTCCCGCCACCCCCATCCGCTTCCGCCGCCTCCGATGAACTTAAGTACCCTCCGCCCACGAACACCAGGGCACAGACGATCGAAAAGTACCGACAGGAGATGATGGACTTGGTGCGGAACATGCCAGAAGAGGAAGAGGAAGAAGTTCCCGCGTATGAGCTGTCGTTGAGGGATATCGTGGAGTCTCCGGTAGCGAAGAAGCCGGAGGTTGAGACGGCTGAGGATAGCTTTGAAATGAAGAGGAAACAGAGGAGGGTTTCGAGAGAGGGAAAGAACGGGATGTCGGGGTTACTTATGAAGGCGTTCATACCTAGGGTTAGGGCTGCGCTGGGCGGTCGCAAGAGAATCGCCGGAGTCGGTGCAGGGAAAGGAGCAAAGGTCTCGCCGAAGCCGAGCAACAGTGATTGTGAGGAAAGGAGTTGCAGTAATGGAAGCTGTGATAGCAGCAGCAGCAGAAGAAACGGGGGGTAGGTTTTCATTCTATCTATTTCCTCTAGGTTATTTGCACTTTTTCTTTAACTCGATTTTGATTCCGATTTCATTCTGATCACAGAAACTTTTCTTTCTAAATTTGTTTGGTGCTTAATTTCGATCGTTTTTAATTTTAAAGATAAATTTACTTTTCATTAATTTCAAAACCTCAAATATAATACTTTGGATGAATTCCTGTGCTTTTTGCTTGCAGTGAGTTTATTTTTGCTTGTTTGAATGAATTTTTCGAGAATTCTGGATCAGATTCAACTTGTTTGAAACGGTTTCATCCGAAATTTACTAATTTCATGATTTTGATTTGAAAATTTTCTGATAAAAAACGTGATTACCGATATTGATATTTCATTATTTATGTGGTTTCAGTGGAATGGGATCATGCTATTCATTCCTGCACAAGCATAGGAGCAAATCCATGGAGATATAAATCAAAGTGTTCTTCTTTTATCATGAGAGTTTCTGCTTATGTTTTGAATTTCTTCATCTGAGGCTTATCGAGTGGATGCTTGGATCAAAATTCAGATCTTGCTTATTTATGTAAATATATGTATTATAAAAATGGTTAACATGAGCAGTTTCTTCTGTGGCGTTTGCTAAGCATTATTGCAATTTCTATAAATATATAGAATCTTTATGCATATTGAGCTATTCAAAATTCAAGTATTTAATTACAAGTTTCCATTCTCAAGGGAAAGTTTTGAAAATTAAAATGTTGCATATGCATTAGCTAAGAGAGGTTTTGTGGGAAAATAATTAGGCATTTTTTATACAACTACAACAATACGAAGCCTTTAGCCCCATTTTGTGGTGAAATTATTTTGTGAGCATGTTGGACTCATTCGGAGACCAATTAGAATGAGCCACATCAGTAATGCGGCTCGATATTGCTCATTCTGGTTGATCTCTAGATGTAGAGCTGAGTTCGGCATCCGCACTGAATAATTTCTCCATTCTGTGTGGTTGATTACATGAAATTTTTCTCCATTATATTCTAGTAGGGTATCTCTAACCGAGCTGCAAACGTCTGTTTGCAACTACCACAAGCCTCTACCTAAATGCCGAAAAGAAACACTTTTTTTTTTTTGCTGTGAACAGTGCGATGCCAATATTAGTGTCACATTATTCATAGAAACCTTTTTTTTTATGAAAATGAAGATGAAAAAGAATCTATATCGATTTTTTTTTATGTTAGAAATAGAGTTATAGTCGAAGTGAATTACTGTTTGATATGACTATTGACTATTATTACATTTTGAAACGAAAAAAATGAGGAGTTTGGTTGGATATGATCTTATGAGTAAAATTTTCATTTAAATCTATTTAAAAAAAAAAATACATATCATTTCTAATATTTTTTAACCAAATTTTTTATGTTGAATTTCACAATCCATCAATTTTTTGGTAGTATTTTACAAAATGCCATTGTTACCATTGGTTTAATATTTGTTTGTTATAGTGGTGGTTTCAATTGAAATTGATGTGAAATAAATTAATAAGTTATATTTCTGCTGGTTTTGCGAAATGTGGTTGAAAGTTAGCTGTCTGAATTGCGCTGTGTGATTTGTTAAGGGGCATTTGTTGTTGTCAGTAAAGATATAGGCAATACTGCTATGCTAGAAGACAACCTTTATTATATTTACTATGTGCTTGTTGTGAAATTAGTCTATGTTGATAACACTAGATGGAGTCTGGAGATCAATCAGAACACGTTACGTCATTTTTTTTGTTCGGTATTGGTGCTCAGTACCATTATGCGCAGAGTGATGTGATGCGTTCTGATTTATCTATGGACCGTCTAGTATCCTCACAGAATAATTTCTCATGCTTATCACATACAAATTAGGCTTCATTTTGGACCTTTTTTATACTATTTTCTAAAGCAATTTTTCAATACGAAATTTTTTTGTTTTTGAACTAGAAATTTTTTACTAAAAAATTACTTTAAAAAACATTAAGAAAGTCTTCTCAATTGAACCCTTAATTATTGCTTGTCAAATTTGACTCATGCATTTACATAATAATTATATGATAAGTTCAAGTCTTGAATGATGAACAAAGTGAGAAATGTTCATAAATTTTTATATAAGAGAATTTTTTAGCAATCATAAAATCAAAGATACATCACATAATTTTCTCAATAAGAATGCCCTCTACTAAAATAAAGTAATGCGACTTTGCCTGACTCGCGTCGCATCCGCTCCGTCGTCTGACTCTGTCTGCCGTAACCGCCGTCGCCTAACTCTGTCGTAACTGTTGTCGTCGCCTGACTCTGCCGTAAATGGGTCGGGTCGGGTTAACCCGAAGCGGATCGGGTTCATGTCCGAAAAATCGTCCCATTTGTAAAAACGGGTCAGGTTGACCCGAACCCAAATAGTGCCGGGTCAACTTCGGGTTTGACTCGAACCCGACCCGTGACCCAAAATTGACACCCCTAGATTTAGTACTCATAGAAACACATAATCCAAATAGTTCACAAAGCAATCAACAAAATAATTCATCAGAATTATACTAATGCTTAGGCAAACGAGTTTTGTAGTTTGATCATGTACATTGATGGCAATAGAAAGTGATGCTAGTTTGACTATTAGAGCTAATGTTTATTATGAACTAATATTGGTGCATGCATTAATTGATAATGAAATTAGACTTCTTAAAAACCCTAACACAGCCCTTTTTCTTTTTTTCCACCTGATGAATCTAAATATGTCCGTGGGTGACACCTGGTCTTACTAATAAGCAAATTAAGAAGGCTAGGACCAATGAACTTGTGAAAGAGAATAGGAAGGTTTGGGAAAGTGTATCACCAGCTCAATAGTTTTGTTAAAAAATGTTAAATGATCCAAAAAATGCTTCTTCACTCTTCATTTCTAGAGATTTGAGGGGTACAAGGAAGGCTACATCAAAAAGAATAAAACAAGTACAATAATAAATGACCCCAAATACGAGCATCCCTTGACATGTGTCATGCTCTAATAGGCATTTTGAATGGTTGCATCTTTTAGTTCAACTTCTAAGCCTCAATGTGAATACCCTTGTACTGAGTACACGCTGGCAAGTGGATGTAGGGGAGTATGTTGATGAGGGTCGAATTGAGAAGACTATTGCTGACGAGTCCTTTGGAGGCTCTGACAATCTTTTGGATGGAATCCTTAGACAACTTCGATGTGGGAGGCTAGTTTATTTAAGTTGTGAGGGTATTGGACTCCATAACTAGTTGTGTGTGGTGAGGCGAGCTTGAATCCTCTTAGTAAAGTCCTTCCCTATGGCATGGATGACGGATTTCATTGATGAAACTCCACTCGAGGTAACGGTGAGTGGCTTTGATCGAGAGAGTGCTTTTGATTTTGGGGTGAGTCATTGTCTGAGTGATCCATGTAAACCCTTGGTGTTCTCTTGCAGAGTTGATTCCTTTTTTACAACTTTGCTTAGTTGGGATGGATGACCCCTAGAAGAGTCTTAATTGTCGAGATTCACAATATTGGAGTTCATCTGTTATAACATGTCAGGTGCCTGTTAAATACCTAAGAAGGTATATTCAAGTGTAAACCACCCGCTAAACCTCATGATGCTCGTCTTTTATAATAAACTCACTCAATATAATCATCCTTATTTTCCATGCATTCATCTACACTACCATTGGAAAACTCTCTTCGATCAAAATTCCCTTAGCTATGCATGTTATCAGGTGATCCTTGTCAAAGAGTTTAAGCACAAGCACCCAAACAACAACATCCTTGTAATTTCTCTTCCAATTCAGGATATGTCATAATACCAAAATCTATTTTTGAAGTCAAAATAAGCTACAATTGAAATATAATTTATCGACAAAACTAAACTGCAACATTCTACTTTGCAAAACGTATAATTAAGAGCATAAAAAACATCAATTATCTTCGAGGATCTCATCCCAAACCTATTGACTCCACCTAAGTTCTTTTCATATTTTTCACACTTTCTTTAGTTAATCTCATTTACTTTTTATTTAAATTCAATCATACTCTTATTCTATTCATTATTAAAATTTTATTATCAAATTTTTTCATCCTTTTTTTTTAAATGAGTGGTGCATAATTTTATTTAACTCAAACATAATTCACAAAAAAAAAAAGTCTTAGCACACCTACTTAAGGAACTTTTATTAGGTCTGGTGTAAGGACGTAGAGGAACATCCGGTCGGAGGCAAAATCCCGCAAAAAAAACTCGGTATTTGCTCGGTATTGTTAGGTATTATTTGATAATAACGAAGAATACCGCTCTGTGAAGATCAATACCGAGTTATACCGAGCTATACCGAGCAATACCGAGTTGTACGAGTTTTTTCTAGTGATGGTATTCCTCGTTATAGTTTGATATTGCTCGGTATTTCTCGTTTTTTGGCGCGATTTGGCCTCCGACCGGACATTCCTCTACGTCCGGTCGGAGGACGTAATAATTGTTCCTACTTAAGATTACTAAAATTGTATATTCATTATTAATTAGTAAATATCTATAATAAATGTATATGGCTATAAACTTATAGAAACTATCATAATAGTAATGAATTTTTGGAAGTTAGAGCATTCAATGTACCAATTTCAAAGACCTTTTTATTGCGACTTTAACCATCTAAAAGGCATAGCCACCATAATTATTTTCTCTAAAGAGATATTGCATTGATTTTCTGAATTGATGGGCTAACAACCTTTTGCAGTATCATTAACAATAATTAAAAAAAATTGTTTGGGTTTCCGGTGCAAATTGCACCGGTTAAAACCGGTGCAAAAAAGATGTTTTGCTGCGGTTTTTAAATCCGCTACTAAAATCTGCTGCGAAAAATCAGGTTTTTTAGTAGTGTAACAATAATTAAAAAAAATTGTTTGGGTTTAATATCCATATTCTTTAAATATGATAGATCTTTATACAAAGCACACGCTTGAGAAAGAAACTTATCAAGATAATAAAACAATAGACGACAAAATTAAGTGTTCTCATATTTTCTTCTTTATAAATAAATGAAATTGATTCAGTTTATGAATACCTAACCCTTAAAAAATTTCGTAGCCGATTTTGATCTATTAGTTAAGAGTTTGGCTGTCAACTATGAGGTTATGATCTTTAGGTCTAATATATTTCGTGTGCATTAATTGACGATTAATTTCTCTCAATGCCCCCAAAATAAATCTCAAAACTTAATATTTGTCCAACTAAAGCTTCGTTTGAGACGCCTTTTTTACTGCTTCTTAAAGCAGATTGCTAGTAAAAAATTAAAATTTTTATACTTAAAAGTTATTTTAAGAAGCAATAAGAAAGCTGTCCCAAATGAAACGTAAGTCGAGATCCCTAAAAACCATTAAGAATGGCAAGATATTCAATGAAAAGTTTTATAAACCAATAATCCTAAGTTCTATAACACAATAATGAGTTACATAATTTTAAAGAAAAGTGAAGAAGTAAGGCATTGAATAGACATATGATTGTGTTTGCTAAAGTTACGAAAAAGCTATCCCAAATTGACTCTATGGTAGAATTAAGTAGAATTTGGATGAAATTTCAAGCAAGACTTTGGCTTCGTTTAGGACAGCTTTTTTGTTACTTTATAAAACTACTTTTTAGTACAAAAATTTCTAATTCAAGATATTTTTGTACTAGAAATATGTCT